GAGAGAGAGAGAGAGAGAGAGAGAGAGAGAGAGAGAGAGAGAGAGAGAGAGAGAGAGAGAGAGTTGAGTGATGCAAGATTGACTGTGCAGCTCGACGAAGAAGGGAGTGGCGGCCGTAGCGGGCCCAGAGCTCGGAGACGGGGTTGATGAAGGAAGGAGAAGTGGAGAAGGGAGGAGAGACTGGAGAGGAAGAAGGAAGGAGGGACAACGAAGTGGAAGACAGACATAGCCGAGGGTGAACAAAAAAAACAAAAAACAAAGAGAGAGAAGAAAAGGAGAAAGAAGAAAGGTGAAGGAAGGGGAAAGAGAAGTGAACGGTGGCGAGGAAGAAGGTGCCGACAGCCATAGCCGACCATAGGGTTGACCAGGTGTTGACCAGAGGGTTGATCGGGCGTTGACCAAGGCGTTGACCAGGAGCTGTTGACCACGATTTGGACCAAGCTGGAGTTGGTACAATCTCGCCAAGCCCTTAGCCTATCCCCTCGCCCTATGGATGTGCACTCACCCTATGGTACTTGCTGAGTCTGTCTGTCTCTTCTTTCTGCATTGAGCCTCTTCTGTCCAGGTGATAGGACTCCGTGTATGAAGGATAGGGCCTCGTTGACCAAACCCACACGGGCTGAGTAGGGCTAAAGACTGTGTCTGACGACTCGACTGTCCCGAACGGACACGAACCCTCCCAAGGACCAGTACTGACCGGCGGGCTGCTCGGTGTGGCACGGTAAGCCCAAAATCCGAGTTGTGGGCTGCACAACGGGCCGTCTACGTCTTGAGAGGATCTGCTGACCGAGTCGTCCTGTCTGCGACGTTAAAGAATTCCTGAGGAGTTACGGGGGATCTCCTTAAATGTCTCCTGGTCAGCAACAGATCCTGTAGTGATGACTGTAGTATTAGAGTCTAGGCTAGAGACCATAGTTGACAGAGTTCCGTACACATCATGTGGTTCATAGATTGAGTCGGTCTTAGGTTGAGTCAGTCAGGGGAGAGTCTAAGTGGTGAGGAGCGGAACTGTCACTTGGTTGTGCACCGTTCACCATGGTTGACACATGCAGTGGCCGGAGCACCTCCCCTTACACACCAGAACAGGAGGCGAAAGCCGTCGCCCTTCTGAAATAGCAAAGAGAGAAGAAGGAGGCCAAGAAGAAGGCCCTGAGGGAGAAACAGGCGACGAAGTTGAAAAAGATTGAGGAGGAGATGGCCAGACAGAGGGAGAGGCTAAAGAGAGAAGAAGAAGAGAAGCTCAAGGCGGTAGAAGAGGAGGAAGAGGAGGAAGAACAGCCATTGGAAAGGCGAAGGGCAGGAGGAAGAGGTGAATCCAGTGGCACAAAAGAAGATCGGTTGGAGAAGAAAATCACACAGTGGGTTGCTGGTCTATCCCTAGGAGAAGAAGAGGAGGCACTAATGTATGTGCCCAGGGAAAAACAAGAGGCGGCCATGAGAGAGTGGGATGCAAAAGAAGACCCACTCAGGCGGCAGGCGATGGAGGATGAGAAGAGGATGGAGTGGAAATTCCGATTGACGAGGGAGAGAAAAAGGAGAATGGAGGCGGCAAGTGAGGCGACGAAAGCGTTGGAAGAAGTGAAGAAGCAGAGAGACCAGAATGGGAATTACTTGTTTGGTAGAGGTCAGAACATTGTCGTGTGCTCTATACAGTTGAGACTCAGGGACTTCGCCAGAGAATTGGCGACGCAGGTGGGCTCAGAGGTGAGGGCTCGCCTAGAGGGCACGGAGCGTTATTGCACGGGCGCCATAGAGGGCGCCAGATTGACTGCTCCCATGGAGGAGGAAGCACGTCCCCGTAGGGAGCCTGTCAAGGTCAAGTTCCCTGACTCCTATAGTGGAAAGAAAGAGGAGAATTTTGACAATTGGGAAGCCAATGTCAAAACCTACGTCCATCTGCAGAAGGTCTCCCCGGACGAGCATGTCCTGATAGCTATCCATGCCCTTCGAGACGAAGCAGCAAGCTTCGCCCGTTCCTTGTGCCGTGTTGCTAACTGCAATGATGATCTCGTCGCCTACTCTGCGTTCACTCCTCTCACTGACTTCCTTAAGTTATTAAGGGAACGGTTTGCAGACGTCTCGCGAAGCGTCAAGGCCTCTGATAGGTTGCAAACCATCCACTCCTGCCAGTGGAAGAGTGTCAGGGCGCTCAAGGGCGTAATGGACGAGTTCGCCGCCATTCCGGACCATGGGGTCACTGAGACCCAACTGGTCAACCTCTTTTATCGTGCAATGCCCGAACAACTGCGCGGATATTTCTTTGAGAAAAGTCAGCAGCCCACCATGACCTAGGATGCATTGAGCAGGGAAGTGGTGGCGTTCGAGGCGAGGTCCATGTCAATTTTCACTTTTTGGCATAAGGACCTGGACAAGGGCAAAAAGTGGAAGGGTCACACCATCTCGGGTCAGGTCAAGACCAAGGATCGTTTGATCCACACGTTAGATGAGGGCGGTGTCGACGAAGTCCCCTACGAGCAGATTGAGTGGGGGCTTGAGGAAGAGGACAGTGGCATTAGCCCGGGGAGGATTTACGCTGCTGTCGCGGCTGGAGGGAGGCCTCAAGGAGGAGGTAGAGGCCAGGGCCAAGGGGGTCGGGCCTCAGGGGGCAGTTCCCAGGGCGATCAGGGGGTTGGTGGTAGAGGAGGAAACCGCCAAGCGGGAGGAAGGGGTCAAGGTCCCCCCCAAAACCGTTCAGGGAATAGGTCGCCTAATAGGGGTAATAGATCACCCTATAGGAGAGGAGGATGACACCCAGGTCTGCCACAGGGTAGGCCTTGGGAGGACTTGAGCCTAGACCAGCGTGTCTGGCAACAGCGTGTGGACCAGGGGCAGTGCATTTATTGCGGTGACCCTGGCCACATCATCAAGTACTGTCCAAAGTATAGAGAGGCCCGAGGAGCTGCCCAGGGGTCAAAAGGCAGCCGCCGGTAGGGGTAGCAACTGCCCCTACCATAAGGCCATGTGGGGAAATGAGCGCGAGCCAGCAGGAAACTCCCACACCACATGAGCCTATGGCAGAGGTTGCAGGTCGGTGCCTAGATAGCTGTCCAGAGACTGCTTGTGTTAGGGTCTCTCTAGGCACTTCCCTCACAGGCGTGGCCAATGAGCTGAAGGAGAGAATGCCCGCCTGGGCCAAAATGAAGAACGAAAGTAGAGGACAACTAGTTTTAATAGATGTAGAGTAGGGGCCCTAGTTGATAGTGGGGCCATGCGCAGCTATATCAGTAGAAAGGCGCTGCAGAAGTTGAAGTTGGGGCTAAAAGTCCAAAAGTTAGCAGATCCCATAGTGAGCATCCTCGCAGACAATCGCACAATGCGAGTAGAGGATTATGTAGAGGGAGTCCAGACGTACTTTCGCCTAGAAAAAGATGGGAAGGTGGAGAAAGTTCTTCATTCCCTAACTCTCCTCGTAGAGGACAGCCTTCCTTTCGATATAGTCCTAGGAATGGACTGGGGAGAGGCAGTCGGGGCCACACTCCATTTGAGAGAGCACGAGTGTACGCTCCCTAGTCCGTCAGGCGGAGTCAAGACTGGCCGTTTGTTCCACGTGTCGAGAGTAGATAACTCCTTGGCACATTGCTGCCTTAGTGCTCCTGCGTTTGCAAGATTAGTGAAGAAGGAGCAGCTAGAGGAATAGGTTTTTGTAGTCTATGTTAGGCCAGCGACTGAGCCTAAAGAGCAGAAGCCCATAGACCTTTCTATTACCAAGCTGTTGGAAGAGTTCACAGACTTAGCAAAGCCGCCAACAGGAGTAGTACCGCGGCCAATCCAACATCGTATTGAGATAGAACCTGGCAGCAGGACTCCTAAGGGAGCAGTGTATAGGATGTCCCCACGGGAGTTGGAGGAGCTGCGTAAGCAGCTAGATGAACTCCTAGAGAAGGGTTGGATTAGGCCCAGTTCGTCTCCATTTGGAGCACGTGTTCTGTTTGTCCCCAAGAAGGAGGGAAAGCTCAGAATGTGTATAGACTATAAAGGTCTCAATGTTATCACCGTGAAGAATGCAGAGCCTCTGCCCTGTATAGATGATCTTTTAGATCAGGTGTAGGGTTGCAAGTATTTCTCGAAGATAGATCTGAAATTCGGATATCATCAAATAAAGGTTCATCCTGATGATCAATATAAGACCACGTTCCGGATTAGATATGGGCACTACGAGTTCATAGTCATGCCCTTTGGACTAACCAACGCGCCAGCGACTTTTCAGCGCTGTATGAATAACATGCTTAGGCCGTGGTTATATAGATTCGTAGTAGTCTACCTAGATGATATTCTAGTGTTCAGTAAGACCCTCCAAGAGCATGAGGGTCATCTGAGGCAGGTCTTGGAGAAGCTCAGGAAGGCTAACTTCAAGATCAACACAAAGAAGTGTGAATGGGCAAAGACCCAAGTTTTGTATCTAGGTCATGTCTTAGACGGAGATGGCATTAAGCCAGAAGGTAGCAAAATCGCAGCGATCAGAGATTGACCTACACCCCACACGTTGACAGAATTGCGGTCGTTCTAAGGCCTAGCAAATTATTACAGGAAGTTTGTGCGCAACTTCTCCATCATCGTTGTGCCCCTTCGCAGGTTGCTAAAGAAAGAAGTGATCTGGAAGTGTGACAAGGACTGCACGTCTGCCATGAAGAAGTTAAAACAGACACTGATAGAGTACCCAGTCCTTAAGGTAGTCGATCCGTCCTTACCTTTCGTCGTCACTAGTGAAGCGAGCCAGTACGGTATAGGTGCAGCAAGACGATAGTAATGGGTATAAGCCCGTAGAGTTCATGTCTGCCAGATGCCTTCAGAGAATGTAGCGAAATCTACCTACGAGAGACAACTCTACGCTCTCAGACAAGTATTAGAGCACTGGAACCACTACTTGCCTGGGAGGCACTTCAAAGTCTATTGAGACCACGAAACGTTAAGGTGGTTAAAGACGCAGGCCAAGATGACACCTAAGCTGACTAGGTGGGCCGCCAAACTAGACCAGTATGATTTTGAGCTCAAGCCAGTCAAAGGGAAGTATAATGTAGATGCGGATGCCCTGAGTAGGAGAGCTGACTACTTTGGAGCGATAGTGCATTATCTGGATATAGGGAGAGACCTGCAACAGAAAGTTAAAGAGGCGTATGCGCAGGACCCTATCTATAGTGACCTCCTCAAGAGAGTAAAGGAGACCCCAAAGTTAGAACCAGACTACCGCACTACTGATGGGCTACTATTCGAGAAGACTAATGTAGTTGACCGATTGTGCATTCCTAACAGTGAAGAAATTCGTACTTTGATCCTTGGGGAATGCCACGATACGGACGGACATTTTGGTTGGCAAAAGACTCTAGCTAACCTCATGCGCGCGTACATATGGCATGGGATGAAGGCCGACTGCATAGAGTATGTTCGCAGTTGTAAGGTCTGCCAGAGGAATAAGACTTCTACGCATGCCCCTCTAGATCTTCTCAGACCCTTGCCTATTCCTGATGAGCCAGGAGATTCGGTGTCTATAGACTTTATGGACACCCATGTCAAGAGTAGGCATGGCAAGAGCCAAGTCGTGGTAATAGTTGATAGATTCAGTAAGTATGATGTTTTTGCCCCTTTGCCCTCAGAGGCACGTACAGAGTTAATTATCCAGAAATTCTTTGATCATTGGGTCAGTGAACACGGTGTAGGGACCGTACCCTAAAGGACTTTCGAGCCTAAGTCGACCCCGCTGTGGGTCCCAGTTGGCTCGACCCGCCCACGCTCATGCTCAGGGCGCGGGTCATTCGTCCCAGGGGCACCCCCACCTATTGCTTTGAGATGGATGGGGATGGGCCTTTTGCGAAAGGGCTTTACATTGGGGGATGTAGCTCCTTTCCAGATGGTAGCTCTTTAGGCACTCGTGGCGTTTGCTTGATTCTCTTTTTTTTGTCTGACCAGGCAATTGTTCCTTTCAATACGCAGGCGGTCCAGGGAGTTCATTGAGAGTTTATCTTCATTTTGTGTGTAGGCCAAGCGTCATCCATTGGACCGCTCACCTTTTCACTAAGCCTAGCGACTCAAGACCGCCCCTGCGGCATCCTCGGGGTGGAGTGGCACCGCTCGGACCCCTAGCCGCTATATTTTTTTTGCTTGAGCCACAGGCATTGCATTCACCTATCCGAGACCGCCCTTAGTCCTTCTGGGCTTGCATTGCATTCAACCATCACACAAGCCACGTCCACGCGTCTACCACTCATCCAAGCATCCAACCACCAAACCGATCCTCCATTCATAGTTTAAGCGAGGTCCAAGTCCTGCCCTTGTCCAGCCTCCCACCCTAGCCCTTGTCCGCGAAGCCAGTCTTGATCAAGTCATCCCGAGCTACTCACCTGCGTAAGACCACACAAGCAAAGGCCAAATACAGTCCCCATTGGGGTCAACACACCACCCTTTCCCACAGGCCTAAGTTTCGTTTCTCTTTGATGATCCCTTGGTTATCTTTCCCTTCATTCAAGCAAGCCATGCCTTCACCTTAGTCATGCAGTCGGGGAAGATGGTTGAGTCATACTGACCTCGTTACAAAAACAGCACTCCTTTCCGCTTTCTCCAATGCCCACAACAGTCTGACGCTTTTCCTTCTTGGTGGCACAAGGGACCGGCTGCCCTCCCCTTGCCCTCGCTTTCCACCAAGTGAGGATCAAGTTCGTTACCGTTCGTCCCCTGGCAATGTAACAGGTGAGGGTAGAGGTTAGTTACGTGCCATGGAAGGGAAGGGACGAGGTGAGAGTTAAGGGTCAAGGACCGTGGGGGAAAGAGAGCGAGGGGAGAGAGGAGGCGAGGGGGAGAGAGAGAGAGAGAGAGAGA